GATATTTTATATACCATATAGTATTCCTCCCCTTGACACAGAAATCCAAATCGTATTAGAGGTTTCCCATTAGCAGCTTACATCAGCGGTGTCTGACAGTAATCAATGGCTAGCTGCTTGTGGAACAGCTAAAAGGCTTGCTAATATATAAAATACATATTTTAAATTGCAGAACTAGATAAAAACATGCTTAATAATTTTAAATATCTTTAAGCTTTTAAGCACACTTACTTCTAAGCACATTGTATGTGCTAGTTACCTGTGCACAAAAAGGTAGTTTTTCCTGTAGCATGGCGTAGTCACAACACATTTAATACTTCAATGCTGTCACTAAACTGCCAACAAAACAGCATTTTTCTTTAAAAACCTGTGGTTTCTCTGCAACAAAAATCATGTTGCCATTCCTGTTCATTACTAAAGGAAATTATCTGCACATCTTTTGCTAACAACTAATTCTTTCCACTTAACCTTCTCTTAATAAACTTAAGACCAATTAGTTTCCTTTGCTTTTCTTTGTGCTTGAGAGTTGAAACTTTAGTCTAGCTCCTTGCTCTACAGCTTACAAACTGTAAATATTATTAATATCTGAGAAACTAGTTGAACTTTTCCAAGTGAAGTTAAATAATATTAGGATTTTCACTTTGATTTTTAATGTTTTACAACCTATTTCCTTGACATGTTTGAAATTTCAAGAAAGTATATTTTTTTCTCCTCTCTGTTCAAAAGAGGAATTTATATCCTGATTAGCCTTCCTCTTGTCTCTGTATTGTATTCCCATAATCTTTGCTGTAAGAGACCTATGTAAACTAAAGTCAACTCTGACAGGAAAAGATAAAGCTGTTCACTATTTTGAGCTTAAATGTTATCTTTAATGCTTTACATATATCAAATATGTTTTAGTATATCCTGTCTCTATACATTCTTGTATTAACTAAAGTTATAGTCACACAAGCATCTATTTTTTCATTAATATCTTTGATATTTGATTAATATATTGTTTTCCAATTTGACGGAATCAGAGGAGTTCTCATAAGTTTCTTTAATGATTCACCTTCAGGTTCCAAATTAACCTTGAAGTCACAGAAAAATTGTCCTAAACTACCAAGTGTTTAGGAGATCTGTACAAAGGGACTCATTAGAAACTGGAAATCAAACTCATTTTTGTGTGGTTATTTAGTTATTTAGCATTATTTAGTTTTACTTGTATTCCCACACAGTAAATCTCCACAACAGAACTACCTCCACTGAGCACTACATGAAAAAATGTCTTGAACTCCTTGACTCCATATCCTTGCAAAAGGCATGCAATTAGTCAATTTTCAACAGTATTTTCAATTAAGATGCAGTCTTGGCAGGCATCAGTATTATAACAATGGGACTATGTAAGTAAGGAAACGAAAGTGGGATGATTGTGGGAGTTGATTTTAAAAGAACAGCCTAGTGTACTTTTCCAATACCTGATTTTGATTGCCCAGAAATAACCCCTCAATAGCCTGCACTGTTATGCATTAGGAAATTGTGGCAATGACACACTACAGAAGAGACTCAGTCTACCAAGATTCAAAATGACTGTGCAAGTTGGAACCAGAAATAACGTAACTGCTTGACTATTTGGCTTTGTATCTTATTTTCAGAGTGTATCACTTTTCCACAAACCTGAAAAAAAACAACAGCTATCTCTCTAAAGTGATCAAGAATTATTTACCTTTTTGGAATGATATTATGTAAATTCCAGATACTCAAACAGTTTTTGGCCTTGTAGTTCACATACAGGCACTTCTACAGCTATTACGTATGTATAGGTCAATATCCCATATGCTTCAACCTGATGATTTTCTTTAAACTAGAAGTCCAACACAACGAAGCATTTTACAGTGCTGACTCCATTTTTACTGTTGCAGGAGTCTAGAAACGAGGAATAGACTTCAGAAGCTAGGAATCACCAAATCTTTGCTTTCATCTGTTTCTCAGTCTTCTGTCCCTGGAGCTCATGTAATGTGCTATTATAGAATTTAATCTGTAGCTTCGAAAGCTTCCTTTCTTCCTCCTTCCTAATAGTCTCTTTATACAGATTAGAAATATTCTGTAGACAGAATTCAGAAAACTAGAGGTTGACATAGCAACATTACGTGCCATTACTCTTGTTGAAAGCCCATGACAACCTCTCCTTGTGATCCTACTGACATTTTTTATTTTTTAACTGGGACGGAAAAATATTCCTCCTATCTTTTTGTCAGCTGGCACTGATACGCTTAGGCTAGCATGATGCTATAAGGAGGTGCTATACAATCCCACTGCACACACAACTCTTCTGCATTCACTGCTGGACCCCTACAGTGACTAACTGAACGCTCAATCACTCACACAAGCTATACAAGTCTCCAAAGTCCAAACCTGATTATTTCCAAGAAAAAAATTAACCCCATTAGTCCTACTAATCACAAGACAAAGTTAAGTAGTAATCAGAATCAAACATTTTTACGGAAACTAATATAAATACTCACACATCTTTCACAATTAAAATAACCTATAGGTATAAGCATTTTTTATGACTGTCTATCCAACTGATGCCCTACTAAAAATGGATGACACCTGTTGAGCTAATCACCTTTCCAACACTGTTCACTGTCACAAAAAATACACTCAGATTACACTACCAGAAAGAGTAACCAAATATTTACCATATTCTGAAACATTTCAAATACCTCTAAACTGGTCTAACAGGAACTTAGAAATCGTTACTGATTTCATTACCACGGAACAGGTTTGACTCCATCATTCCATGTCATTAGTGGTAATATACTTACAATTAAAGCTACAATCCTTACAACTAATCCTTCCCTATTCTATTGGTATCTACCCATCTTACATGTAGCACTGTATCCCTCACTGCAGGTGATTCATGTTAAGAAAAACCCCAAACATATTTGCACCTTTTGGAACTCCATCGTTTGAATCTTTTTTGCTACCAAAAAGTGCAGAGCAGGAGCCACAGGTAGAGCCACCATTCTACCTGCACAGACAGGCAACAATACATTACTTGAGCACAATTTTGCCTTTTAGCATGTCTCACTGACTTTGTATGCTATTAAGGGCTGTACATTTCTAAAATTTCAGTAGCACGTACAACCATAGGGGGTAGATCAGTTTAAGAGAGTACCAGCACAAAAATCTCTCTCAATTTGTTACATCCAACAGTATTCTTAACAGACAGTGTTTATTCCATTCTTTCAGTAAAATAGGAAGTCTCAAGAATTCATCAGAAGGATTCAGAAATATTTGGCAGGCTCATGTACATGACCTAGAAAACTACTTGCCATCTTTCCTGATACATAGAAAATGGGCAAATCACAAAGTACTGGTAAATAGCACCAGTCACTCAAATTCCCTAAAGGCAAGGAATTCCAGAGGAAGGGAGTAAAGAGGAGAAGCTGGCATAGCCCACCAGGCTGTATCACTTGTTAGAAACAGTAGGGTGAAAGTCAGAATCCACTGGCCTCTAGGAATGCCGGACTAAAGATTAACAGCCTCAAGGTTGGACTTTATACACTGAGCCAAAATTAATGTTGAGGTTATTAAGATGAAGAGTCATCAATTCCAAGTTGTGCACACAGCTGTCACATGAATGAGTTAGGAGCTTCTGAGAGTGCTCTGATTTTACATACGTTATTGAGCCCCTAAACAGAATAAAAGTAAAATTTAAAAATTAAATAAAAACCTGCAAATAATCTTAGTGTAACAGTAAGCTAGTATTTTAATGGGATTTTATACTGCAGACCATTGTTTACTATAAGAAGATTCTATTTACAAACAAATGCTGCACAATTGGAGACAGTGCTTATTAATGACTATAATCTCAATTTACATTTGTGTTTGTGCTTTGTATTAAATATATGTAGATTCTTCATGTTTGGGTCTTTCTAAATAAATTTCATCCAAATATTAACAATAACAACAGCTTTCTCAAAGAGAATCAAACAACTAAATTGCATTTTAAAATATTATACTGAAAAAGACTCTTTATAAATAATGTCTATGAATTGTTTTAACTAGTATTTATGTAATACTGTACCACTGTGTCAAATGCATCAAAAAATAATTGGATTTCCTATGCCAAAATACCCTGAGAGGAAAAATATCTTTATCATGAAGTTACAGATAAGCTATTAATTTTGAATTATTATTTTTTATAGTGAAATTGCTTTATTTGACACATCACTTTCCTCTGAAGAAAATGTGGGAAAAATGAAACAAATAAGTAAATATATTTAAATGACAGATCCCGCAAGAAAACCTGAAAAGTAATAACAATGCCTGCAGGAAGAGAGCATTAGCTTTACTGTGAGCAAAATACAATGCTATAACAACATAAAGTACTCAGACCTACAGTTGTTTGTTTCACAAACAGTATACTAAAATGGTCAGATACCACACCATCTGCCAGTAAATGTAATATTGAATTTATCCAGATTAAATCCTGAAGAGTAAAAAGTTAACCAAATTATGCACACAGCTGACTGTTTCAATACAATTCCCTTAAAAACATGAGATTAGCAATAAAATGAAATTTAAGTTGTTTATGAACTTCATGTTAATAATTTTTCATTAGATGAAAAATCAACCTTGAACTACACACCAGGGATACTCATATATTCCAGATTCTCCAAAGGGAGACAAGACTTAGAAATAAAGCACAAGAGATGTGTACCAGTCTTAAATGGGGAAAAAAAACTATCATTAATGTAACACGGACTTATGCACATACTATCTTACTTTTGTGTGAGTACTGCTATAAGTAAGAAAAAACCCAGATTCTTACACCTATTAAAAATAGTTCAAGACCAGTTCCCCTTATAGCTATAGTGTGTTCAAGAGTATTTAATATGAAAAATTATACAGACTTCTTAAATATATTAGGGAGCGATGATTTTCACTACTATTTACCACAAAAATATAAAATAAATGACATCTGGGAATACAGACCAGAACAAATTTATATCAGATTTTAAAAAGATGATTTTTATTAAGCACAAACAGCTTTTAATACATTATCAATACAAATAGGAAAACATCTGTTTAATGAATTTGATATATCAAAGATTTGATGGGCAGGTTGCATACTGGCACAATAAAAATGATCTTTTTTAAAAAAAAAAAAATGATTTCAAATTAAAATTATAGGGTCACCACTGTCTACACTGCAGGAACTTTACCTACAGTCTAAATTTACTACATCACGTGGGCAGAGGGGGAAGCAAAAAAACTACAATTTCATAATATGGAACTCCTAACACTTTCATTAGCACCATTCAAAGCTTGCATCAGCTGTTTAACTAAGCAGCAGCTGACAGGTCAGATAAAGCTTTACAGCGAATTTCAGTGCAAAGTTTACAGTTCCTTTTCGTAAGATACTTGGAATCTATGGTTTCATAGCATGTTAAATAATTATGGCTTGATAGATGTACAGTGTTAAGATGCTGAAGACATTTACTTTGAAAAAAGATGAGACTTATAACAGCTGTGAAATACATTTTAATATATTATGCCAAATTCTGTAATATGCAAACAACATGCTGGATTACAAACTGAAGTCCTATTATGAATTCACAGACAAGGGTCAGTATTAGCTCTCTGGGGTAGTGGCTTCTGGTTGTCTCAGCTGCTGCTTTTTCAGGCTGACTAGCTTCATCTTCTCTCTAATGTGTTCTGCTGCAGAAGCCATATCACTTGGGCTCCCAAAGTACTGCTCAGACCTAAAAAAAAAAACAAAAAAAACCCCACCAAAACCCAACCCACAGGGACTTATCAGTGAAAACAGTACATGAATATACACATGAAAGGCACTAGAAAACACAAAGCAGGTAATAAAAATAGGCACTTTTTCCTCTTGAAATTTAAAAGCCACATTTAAAAGACTCTGAAGACTCAGTGATGAGACTTAAGAGCAGATCTTACTGAAACTACAAACAAAAGTGATCCTTTTATACCCAAAAGATTCTCTCAACAGGAGGGCACTGTTAAGTGCAACAAAATACTTCCTAACTCTATTTTTTACATCCCTTCTCTGGCTACCCTCCAAGTCAGTCTGGCAGTTCTGAGTACTTTGAGAATCAAGGAAATCTGTCTATACATGAATTCTGAGGCTATGCAATTGCTGCATTATTGAAGGACTTCACATGTATGTGAACTCAGCCACATGCCGTCAAATTATGCCATCCCTCTCTCTCAAACCAAAAAGAGCGCATGGATATGTAAGTTGATTTCTTCCCAAATCAGCAAAACACCATGTTAGGAAATGTTAGGAAAACCACTAACCAAGCTGTCAGCAAAAGGAGGATTTGAACAGAACACATGTTTCAGAAGAACAGGTACCCAATCTAATTACAAAGCACAGAGATGCAAGAATGGAAATGGTAGTAGGACAAAGGACTTCGGACAGAGTAGCGGGACAGGCATAAGCAGACAGAGAAGTTATTTCACACAAGAGTAGACTAGTTTGACTAGGTGATACCAGAGACAACAGACTGCATAACTACACATGGGATCACAGCATGGGCAGATGTATTTCCTGATGAAGATGAGTAGCCATGAGCAGGACAGGGAACAGTGATGTGCACTTCCAAGAAGATACTGACAAAAGTCCGAAGTGGTCAAGAGGCTGATGAAGATGCCTCCAAGCATTTTATGATATTTCTTAAGCTGTTTCTACTAATGAATAAACCCTCTGAAAATTGTTTGTTAAATGCTTCAAAAATAGAATGCCCACAGATGATGAGCAGGGGATCCTGGGATTTAGGACAGCTAAAATCCTACTTCTGAGAAGGGGACATGCAGAACTCTGCTGAAGTGCCAGAGCGGTGAGAAATAATGTTCAGGATTCAGTCAGCCAGCCTAAAATACAGGGGTGTGTGTGTATGTATATCTATATATATATAGATATAGATATAGATATAGATATAGATATAGATATAGATATAGATATAGATATAGATATAGATATAGATATAGATATAGATATAGATATAGATATAGATATAGATATAGATATAGATATAGATATATCTATCTCTATAAGAGCATTGTGTTAGTACTCGAAACTCCAAGTGTGACAAGCGTGGTCTTTCATGGGGAGCTTTCCTGAGTTCTAATGTTAGTTATTACTTTAATAGTCTATCTGAAAATTACACCCATTTTAAGAATAAAGAACAGTTGCTACTTTTACCAGGTCACTAAAACCTGCTCTACAGAGGTTATACCAAAACACTTTCAACAAGCATAACACACTTCTTGTTTTGTTGGTTTTTTGTATTGTGGGTTTTTTTTCCCCCCCTCACAGCTATAAAAACCTCCATTATTTTCAAATACACTCCTCAAAGGTCAGTAAAACTCACTACTAGTTCAGGCCTGGGTCCATCTTCATGGGTAGCACTCCTTACTGAATGAAATTATACTGCATACGAATGTGGTATTTTGGAAGTAAGATGACAAGAAATTAATTTTCATGACCAGCCTCCTGGAACTGCATTTTTCAGACTGACTTTAGGTAACACATAATGCAGTTGCCTGATACCATCTATTAAGGTTTTAGCCTCTAATTCAAAATATTGATTTCAGATCTCATTCATTATGGTGCAGATCTCATTCATTATGGTGCAGGACCTTAGAAACTCAGAGACTAGTTCTAAGGCTTGGTTATACTCACATAGAATAAATTAACTACAAGCTCAGCATCACAATGAACAAGTGTATTTTACTGAACAGAGAACTGAGTTTTATTATGTCTGAGATTCCAAATTCAATTGCTTTTTGTAGCTCAATACAGCCACCAGTTTCAAATTAGTATGAAGAGCTCACAAGGGAAGTACTGTTTTATTTACTGAATAAATCATATGTAAATTTATCTTCAACATACTGGCTTCAAGATTTCAGGCAGGTAGAATTGCAAATAAATTAATCATAATACCATAATTCTAATCTGGTATCTTTTTCCAGAGAAAAGAGATTGGGACTGGTCATTGTTCTGTTACTCCTACATACTTTGCTGGTGTAAACACTGAATAAATCTAATAATTATTGTGTGGGAAAAAGTCTCTACTTTTAAAAAATGGGCATGTTGTCTTTGGAAAGTTTGAAATTGAACCTGCTCACTTTCTGTGAAAAGATGGGATATAATTTTTAATAGGTATTAGCATGCTGCCTTTTTAATTTCAGCAATAAGCATTCAGGATTCTTCTGCATATGAGACTATTATAAAACTTTACCAAAAGCATATTCAGAAGGCATTAGAAAAACATTCTGCATACCCATCGGGATAAACTACAGGCACCGTTAGCCTGTCCAACAGCGATTTCCCAACTGCTTCAATTTCATCAAATTGCTCCATTTCGTTAAAAGCTTCAGGCTGCTCTGGACATTCTTGCAAAATCTATTTAAAAAAAAAAAAAAGAAATGCAGAATCAAGTACACAAGGGATCGCATGTAGTTTTTTAAGTGCCAATAACTGGCAGAGTGAATGCTCTTCCAGCATCTTCGCTGCCATGTTTATATGGGATCAATTGAAATATTAATATAATTCAAGAATGGAAAAATATCAATTAAGCTACATTGAGAAGATAGTTCAGGGGTACCGCTGTTCTGTACTAGAACATTTTACATTATTTTTTCTTTTTTACCTCTTAAAAGTAGTCTTGCTAGACCATATTAGACAACAAATATATAATGCATAAAAATAGGAATCTGCATCATTAAACATACAAGACAGTCATATAAAATGAAAAACATGGATAACGAATGCCCCTTACAAACAGTTTCAAAACTGACATCTGCATCTGGCACAGAATAGGTGGGATTAAAACATAAATTCAAACACAAGTGTTTTCAGATGGAATTGGAACCCAATACTAGTACTTAGTATTCCACTTCTCCCTCTGCCACTTCTTTTTTTGAAAGAAGCATGGTTATTAATAGCATATTTTCCTCACAAACTCATTACTATGTCACAGCAGTGCTATAAGAATTATATTTTTGAACAAGAGCTTTATTTTTTCAGCCATTCACTTTTTCTAAACTTATGACTGCCTAAAAACATAGCAATTAACTACTGAAATAATGAAAGAATGATCATAATATGGACTCAGACAGTCAACTCTTCAGAGTTTATGAGCCACTGACTTCTAAATTGGTATCAGGTAAAATTTTTAGCCATCTGTGACAGCACAGATATGTTTCTGCTTCTGTGAACCTCCATTAACTCCCAGTGCCTATAAAGTCAAGTTATCTTCCATTAATACAAACAAGAAATTAATAAAAGCAAGGAGCAACTTTGCATCCATGCTCTCCTCTTAACCACGTGCAAGGTTGGCTTTTTTTACAGTTGTATGCAATTTTATTGTCAATATTAGAGATACATACTCTAAATTGCTTTTCTGAAATGTATCACTTCACACAGAGACTGGTTCCTGGACAAAAACACCCTGCCTCGTGATCTGCATTAATGGACATTGTCTCAAATTCAGGTATTTGAAAACTCTCAACATTCCCCCCCTTCAGCAAGCTGTTACTGAATAAAAACTATTCCTTATACCCTTGTTGATTGCTCATCTTGCTCTATGGCTTCCAGCATCATCCACCTGGGCACAGTGGTGAAACACTTAGTATGATTTTTTTTCAAACTATAACCAAGGTAGAGGCATGTCTTGAAGGAAGCAAGTTCAAAACACTCCCAAGTACAAAAGACAAAATTCAGCAACACAGCAGGCCCAGAAACTAAACTGGTGAGTGTTGCATTCATTTACAGATGTAATCACAAAGTGTTCCTTGCCTTTAAGAATTACAGTCTAAAACACATGAAGAAATGCTTTATGATCAGAGTTCCCCTCTGAAGAGTTAAAAAAAAAAAATAAAAAATTATTTCCAGCCCAACACAATGCACCTGAACTTCAGGGCTGATGTTCTTTTCTTTAAGCAGGTCCTATACCAATACATGTATGCAAGCAATAAGTTGCACTAAGTACTGAAATTAACAATTAGAAATATATGCTTAAAATCTTCTTTTTTTTAATATTTAGAATGGAGACAAAAATACACAAACAAGTTCATTTTTTCTTCCATTTTGTTTTCTTAAATTCTGTTAAGAAGTTTTTCTTCTTGAAATCACAACACTCACCTTTTCAGCACTTGAGTGAAATGCGACAGCTGTTTCCAGCCGGTGCACTCTTTCTTCAGAGGTTATTGTAAACTGTTTCCACACTCTGTTCAGTCTTGGAAGTGTGTCCCCTGAGGACCTTGAAGTGCATCGCAGGGACTGGCACAGGACAACAGTTGCCTGCAGTAACTGTCTCCCATAATCATAAGTACTCTAAAAGTTGGAGGACATGGGAAAGAAAGTACATGTAAAATCTGCATTTAACTTAGGAGCTAACATATTAAAATGACAGCAGACAAGTTTATGAAAGCTCCTCAGTTTAGTTCCATATACTTTGTGGACCTAATTTGGTCTACTAGAAAACGCTGCTGAAGTATGAATAAAATTGCAATGACAAAACAGTGCTTTTGCTCTTTACAAGAAAATTTTTAACAATAAAAATAGTACCCTCTTGTCTAGCATTCACACCAGCAAAAGAACAGAGCTTCCTGAAATTTTTGAGTAGCTATTTAGATCTTACATGGGATACCTGGTATCATCTACTGCCAAGATGACCATCTCACTGACTTCACTGTCACCATGTCTGTGGTCACCCAGCATCCACGTGCACTGTGGCACATCACTTTAACAGCAAGCTACCCTCCTGTCATTGTCAGTTCTGACTCATCATAAGAGAAAATCAGTTCCAGTGTAACAGGTGCAATTTGAAAACATCACATCTGTTTATCAGCAAGTCTGAATCAGACATTCCTAAAAGCAGTACACACCTGAAAATGCACCTGAAAAAGGCCCTGTTTGTACACTTTCTATTCTTAGGTAAAATTCTTTCACATGCACCTGGCATCTGTTTGTATATTCAAGATCTGCAAACAGGTGTGCATGCATGCCCTATGGCTTCAGTGAAATTGAGTAGACTCTTGTACAGCAGGATTCACTAGTTGGCTGCTACAATCAAGAATTAAAGCTGTCAGTTCTGTTCAACCACTGACTCTGCTAGTGCCAAATCTCCTTGCACGAGCAGGGCCACACACCACAGTCAGCGCTACCTGGAAAACCAACAGAAAGACAAGTTCTGTTTCATAAGGTACAGCACAAAATAAATGAAACCAAATGGCCCATCCATGTTTTAGTATTTCATTGCAGTCCTTGAAAAAAAGTCCTTAAAAAGACTGTTTGAAATATATGCCTTTCAAAGAAAGTCAGCGTGAACTTTATGTTTTGTGGCTTACATTGCCTGTGTGAAGCAGATAAGCTAAGGTAGTAAACTGCAGCATCATTCATGGAACTTCGAAATCTCATTAGGCTCATCTACAATTCCAGCAATCACAATTTCTTACTTCAAGCATTGAGGCAAACCATTAAGACTAGTAACAGCTGTTCCATGATTATCCACACATGTACCAATTCTATCCAAGGACCTCTTCTGAAACTGTACAAAACCCATATTGCTAAAAAAAAAAATAATTTCACCTGTGCGACATCAACAAATTTTCGATGCTTCTCCAGTAAAACTTTTGTTTCTTGAGCATCATCTCCCAATCGGATGTGTGTCTTCAGCAGAGCATCCAACAGTTCACTTAACCATTCTACCGCCTTGAAACAGAAGTTAAAAGAATAAAAACTAGTAAATTCAAAAGAAATTCATCCACAAGGGTGAAGTAACTTCAGTACTAGCATATACTTTTGGTGTGGTAAAAAGTTAAAAGACATATCAAACTGGTAGATCATATCTGTAATCACCAAATACACTATTTTCAGTTACTGCCATATTTTCACTGTACATATTCACTAAATAAAGCCACATTTGAAAGTGACAGAAATACTGTACAACTATCAACACCCATAAATTTAACCAGTAGACTACAAAGACCAGAATGATGAAATTCTGTAGGCATTTCTGTACCTGAGCAGCATCCTCTTCGCATTTAAATAACTGTACCATCTGAAGCATCTTCAGTCGTCGAACATCCACCATATCCTCACACCTTAAACAGCAGCACAGAAAGGCACGTGTATAACAGACACAATACAGTGAGTTTGACAGCAGTGTTTTCAGTGCACAACACTAAGATGCAAGTGTTCATGAAAAGGTGATTAAAGCCTTTTTGTGCTGCTTAGCTTGGCCAAAATACACAATGCCTTGTATAACAATAAGAAACCTGCAGTAAATAGAACTGAGCCCTACAACCCACCTAAATCATGGTCCTCAAGACTCCTGATATGACTAAGCTATAGTTAGTAATATCAGCAGTAGCTACAAGGCCTTCCAGCAGCATTGCAGGTTCCTTACCATGTTGCACTGGTAAGGTTTGCCACACAGACACTTACGTGGCTAAAACAGACTTTATCCTACTGAAGTCTAGGTGAAAGCTAACTTAAACCTTGCGTAAACTTGGCAAAGTTTTCATGGTGAATAAAGTGAGGACTGTTTAAAAGATGTTAATACATCTTTCCATTTTTCTTTTTAGCTAAAGACTGAACCCTTATATGATTATGTCCTTTGCAATAACTTGACAGGAATCATTTCAGAATCTAATTCATATAAAAACCAATTCTGAATTAAGCACATTGTTCAGTTCTTTCTCTAAATCAAATTTTAAAAAGAATTGGAAGTTCTTTTCTTTCCACAGTAAGAGCTAAGCTAATACATTAGCAGAATGACCTTTCCACTTCAATTTCAGAGCTTACTAAGTAGACAGCAAGATCCAGACTCCCATCCAGTGCAATTACTAATGTCAACAACAGCTAGCACTATAAGCAAATGCAAATGACTATTCACAGACCTGTTTTTTCAAACCAGTTGCAAACACAAGCACTTCCAAAGAACAGTTGTTAGTGTGCTGCGTTTTTGCGTTTTGTGTGTCCTGTAGAGCTCTGATGCTTACAGAAAGGAAATTTGTCACTCTTATAATGCAGGAAAACAGTTTATGGGTTTCAGAAACACAACTAAAGAGGCAAAATGCCCCTAGAAATAAACATTATACTAAATGTGTATATAAATAATGAGAAACATTCAGTAGAATTTGAAAAAAAAAAAAAGAGTAGCGTCAGAAATTACTGTTAAATGCTACTGAAAGTTACTAGTCATTATTATACATTTTGTCTCCCATCCAGGCTGAAGAGTCTTGTTTAATCATTCATCATCTGGAAGCTGCTTCATACCTTTGTCTGAATATTTATTGACTTTCTGATCTTCTATGACTTCCCACAGTTCTACATCCCTTCTGAGAACAGGGACCAGAACTGTGTAACACTTAAAACAGGAATCGACTACAAATCTATGCAGTGTCACAATGACAGTTTCCTTTTAATTTTCTATTCACTTCCTAATAATCCTTAGTGTTCTACTTGCTTCTCACAGTGTGACTGAACATTAAAGCAATTTTTGCAAGTTTTCCAACGTTTATCTTGTGAGTTAACGGGTGGTTCAGAGCCCATAACTATATAAAGTATATGAAGTATATAGAGTTTTTCCTTTTCCTATGTGCATTTCTTCTTTCAATAATGAATTCCAACTGCTGTTTTATCACACAGTGACACAGTCCTCTACTGCTCTTTGCAGTTGATCTTCTAAACACAAGTGCTGTTCAAGTAAATAGGATTCAGAGGACATACTTAAAACAATACTTTCTCTAAGCATTACCAAAACACGTGGTTTCTTACACTAAGCTCCCTAACAATTTGTGAGTGGTAGAATTAATTCCTAAAATGAGCAACTCAATGCTCATCAGACCTTGTTGTTCCCTAGAGCACCTTTTTCTTCAGCTATTGCCCTCACAGTTCAGGCACTTTATTTGGAGAGCATTTTATTGTCTCAGGGATTCCAGCAATAATGAGCAACACCTGATTCTTTCACACTGTTGAGTACAAAAAAAAGGGTAGCGCTATGGCAAATACAGTACTACTACATCTTTAAGAAAAAAAAAAAAAAATAAAAAAAAAAAATCAGTGAAAGGCCTGCAGGAAGATGATGATGGCAAAATCCATCCTTGAAAGTTCAACTCTCCCCAGCATTCTTCCCTACTATTTCATCCCCCAGTTTATCTTTCTGCAGAACTCAAGAAACCCAACATTTCCACACTGAATTCTGTGGCTCCATTCTGTTCCCTGTCCCCCCGACACCATCTCATCTTTCTTCCAATCTTCATGAGTGAAAATACCAGGCTCAAAGGATACAGGTTGTGAAAAAGAAGAGGATAAACAAGTCTGTACATAATTAATATGTAATTTTAGAGCCATCATCACCACTGCAATCTTATTATACCCTCCATCTCAGACTGCTAACATATAGAAGATGCCTCATATACATTCCATAACTCCATATAAAAGCAATGTATAGTTTTTGAGCATTTACTAGCACAGAAAAACATTCAACATCCAGTACCAAAAGACAAAAGGTGTTTGATTTAGGAATTGGGTACAACAGATTAGGCAGGGAAGCTTCTGTCCCATTTAAATATACCACAAATATAAATTACAGTTGTACCACATCCCTTAGCTGAAGATAAAGGAAAATTGTCTTTAAAAAATTTTTTTTTAAATAAACATATAAAGTGACCTATCAGCACATGAAAATCTTCATGACTAGAACTGTTATTACCTTTGTTTTCTAAGCTGCATATCTTCCATTACTCCTTGGATATGGTCCACATTTTCTTTGTTTTCAATGGTCACATCTTTTCCATAGGCCCAGGATGCCTGATTAGATATCTGATCAAGAAGACTTTGACCTTTCTCACGTAAGCCTTGCAAGCCTAAGTCTAAAGAACAAAAAGAAAAAAGAAAGAAAAAACAGTCAATGGTCACTCTTACGAATTTGTTATTTTTTTCCCCAAAGGACAGATAGGAAACACAATAGAATGAGATGGAAGGCTGGAAAGTGAAAAGGGTATTACTATCTGTCTTTCACTGACCTTTTCAAGTTCGAGTGAGCACTTCTCTATATTAACAAAGAAGTAAGGCTTTGCTACTTTATGACCTAGCAGATAACAAGGAAAGGAATAAAAGCTGACAGCGAGTATTAACTTTTCAGCATATAAATAGCTAATTCATGTCTTTAATCCACACAGTTGCACAATACCTAAAATATTTATCACCGCTAAGCAGTTGTAGCCTAAGTGTTCTTCCAATGGCTGGCAGAAGTTAATACTTTATAATGCTTTTGATACGGCCGATACCTTCTTCTATACCGAAATACGCCAATCCTTAGAATCTACTGTTACATCTTCTACTTGGCAGCTCTACTATTTATTTTCTCAAGGGAATATCTAACTTGAGCATTGAACTGTTATACTCCAATAACTACTTCTACCATAAATGATTTTGCTTTTAAAGCTCTTTCTCCTATGACATACTGGACTAGACTGTAGGTCCCTGAACTGAAATACTCTATTCTATATGCTTGACAGTGTCACAACCTTAAATGTGCCATTTATTAACATATATATTCAAGCTACAGCAAAATACTCAGTATAAGCATTCTAAAAACTGAGTGGATAACAATTTTAATCATCAAGGGGTCAGTTCTGGAGACAAAAAGATCATCTAAGCACTATATTCCCAAGATAATAAGGATGATTAGTGGGGGAAAAGTTTGTTAATAGATGAAATGCATGTTAATGGCATATAACCAATATATATTACATGTAAAACATTTAAAAGAAAACATTTCCATATAGAAATACTATGCACATTTCCATATAGAAATACTATGCAGTAGATTGCATAAGCAAGTCAATTACTTAGCTAGGAATCAGAAGAAAGATTTTTTTTTCTGCTGTCTTTTATTAAAGGGGGTGGTGGGATTATTGGGTATTTTCCTGCAATGCATTAATATCAGAATGTGTTTATCTGAAATCTTTTGCTTACCAACACTTTTCAATTTCTCTTCCAGTAGTTTTAAAGTTTGTTGAATTGATGCTCCATCTGCCGGTGCTACATCTACACACAACATTCCTAGTAAGCCATCCAATTGCTGAGACAACTAAAATGAAAAACAAACTTCTTTTTAAATATCAACATTTATGTTGAGCTTCAGACAGATGGGTCTGAAATCATGACAAATATGGGAAAGGAATAAATGCCAATTTAAAAAAGAAATTATGGAAAGTACACAAATTGTGGTTCAGTTAATACATATGCCTCTAATTTTTTTTAAAAAAAGAGGGGGGAAAAAAGCGCAACTTTAACTAGTAACCATTTTATTTCAAATGCTACTGAAATGTAAGACAGATTACAAAGCACTTCCCTCCTAAAAAAGGGAGGGAAACTAAAACTGAATCTCAGTGCTTCAGTTACAGTAAATGGAAGACTTAAGGCATCTTCCAAGTATCATTATATTTCCGCCCACTCCCCTACATTTTTTCCAATGTATTCAACATTTTTAATACTAAGGCAATAATATACTGAGAGGTGAGCCTGTTAAAAGTTTAAAAAGAAAAACTTACATCCTGGGCAACACTGTGGAATTCAAGTGCTGCTTGTAATAGATTCTGCCTGAATTCCAGCTGACTGGCCTGCCGGTAACACACATCACTCAGCTGTTGCTGCAATGCTTTCAATTCCATGAGGTCTTCCTCATCTCCTGCATTTAAAAGAGCTGCTATCTGCTGATTAAGCTCAACATAAACAGCAAACCACTCCTACAAACACAAGAAAATTAAGCATTAAAATAATACCAAACGTAATTCTATTTCTCTTTAAATGGCATAGATCTAACTGCAGACTAATAAATAATAAAATTTAAAAAATAACTTATTACAGCTTACACTATAATTAGGAAATCTCACAAGGAGGTAAAAAGATTCCTAATTTCAAATCAACTCAAAAAAGCTTAGTACATGCACTGTAGTATAAAAAAAAAAAAAACACGTGCAGAAAGATGGGAAGATTACAAGGCAAGACTACTAGCTCCCAGCACAAATTCCAACTCAAACTATTTTACTGAACTAACAGAGGAATTCTAGCATTTTTAAACAAATTTCTAATGCTTACATGTCTACAGTGATCTACTGAAATAATAGACCTTTTGCCAAGTGGCAATTACAAAAAGCTGTTCACAAGATTATTTAGGTGTTATTTTCATGGACATGATTGAAAGAAGCAATAATTTTCATAAAATATTTAGAAAAACATACTACTGTTGACAAAGTAGAAGTAATCTCTATCTTCTGAACAAAACAGAATATCCATGGAGAGAAGCTTCAAAGTGATCATTGTTTCTTATTTAAGGAAAGCTTTAATTTCAATAAAACCTAAAACTCAATTCAAAATGTGCAGATTTGTTTCTCAAATGCTTCTATTACTGAATACAGACATAGGAGTTCATTATGTTGTCACGGTGGTGTATTTGCAGGAGAAAATAGTTTAAATATTTAACAATTCTGGAAGACTTAAAAGTAACTTGGTCACATTCACATCTTGCATGATTGAGATGCCTGTAAAGCAAAACATGTTTGCTCAACAGCTTTTATTTTGGCCTACAGTAGTGACCTTCAAATACCCTATGCATTTCTAATGCTATGGAACAGCACCATCTATTGGCCTAAAATAGATGATTTAATTAGTATTCTTGTCACACACTCCTATTGGGATGTTTGCAACTTTTTAAAATGATGGCTTCAGCTTTTGCATCATTTATTTACAAAGCATGTAAATAGAGTATAAATATCCACATTCTATTTTTTTTTTCTTTTTACACAAAGCCAACTCTACCATCTACTCACAAGAAACAGAGTATGAAAAGATGCAAAAGGGGAAAAAAAAGTAATGAAAAAGTCGTTAGCAATCAGCCAACAATTTAAGAGCAGAATAAATCTCTCATCCACCCCAAAAGAGGCAATATGGAAACATCTTCCACTGTCACACGTACTACAGATAGCGTTTCAGTAAACTCTCTAAACAACATAACTCTAGTTTCTACCTTTAGACGCTAAACATAAATCTAGTTTACTGAGTGTGACAAGTCAACTAGAATATGAGAAGACAAATTAAAAAGAAAGCTAGACTAACAATTTTTAGTTTTGTTTTTTTTTACCATTAAAGTAAAACAGTTGCCATAACTTATTTTGGTCAAGCTATCAATGAAATTAAGACTGGCAAACCAGATATAAGAAATGTGTTTCTGACCCTTTCCATAGGGGAAAGTTAGGCACAGCTGCACATGACAGCTCAAAACCATGAAGAAAAGGCCAACATTTGCTCAAAAATAGCAGTTCTAGTCTATTGCTCGTGAATAAAACAGAAAACGAAAACCCAAACACATACCCCCAAAACAATCCCCCCCCAAAAAACAAACAAGAAACAAACCAAAACAACACCCTAAGAAAATGATTTTTTCACTTCAGAGTAAACTGAAGTTTAAAAGTGTATCTTTAAAACAAATCAAACATTTTTTGCAGGTACCTTCAAAATAGGTAATAATCAACAATAAAAAGAAGATGAAATAAAGCAAGCATAGTTGTCAATCCAATTATAAAGAGAAAAAAAGTGGAAAAATACTGAAAGAAGAAGAGTACTCTCAGCTGTTACGAGATGTTCAAAAATCAAAGGAAAAGCGCATTTTTCTAGTGTTGTCATTGAAAAACAGTTTTAGTTTATAGGCAGGCATCTACATTTAAGAAAGGCCAGTCAGTGGTCTCCCAATTACTTTTTTCAGTATAAGATTAATTTTTCTGACGGTTGTTTCAACAAACTCCTGCCAGCAGCTGAGAACAAGCAGCATTCCATCTTGTCAGTGCTTTAGTGATGAGCAAATTGTAGAAGAGCCTGCAAACTTCAGTGGGATCTAAGTGATTTCAAGGTTTGAATATAGCCCCAGCTAAAGCAAAGTTCTCGGTTACAGTTATCTAAGTGAGAACAAAGTATATTCAAATCTTATTTTCTCTTTTCATCTGACATGCTAATATCACTGAAAGATACTCAAATTTATTTTTTTTTCCAATGAAGTAGGCAGATGATTTTTTATTTCCTTGCCAATTAGGATTTTAACTGTAAGACGTCTTACACTTCAGGAGGTGTTGGTTTCCAGAGCAGACATTGAAGAGCTTAAAGCAATGAGAAGGCAGAGAAGATTGGATTCACTTGACCCAACAGACACCTACAACACACTTCTATATCTGACCACAGAAACTGTACTCAGTAGAGATGCAGTCAATCGAACAGGTGTAGTCTAGTGCACAGTGTTTCTCAGACTAAAGGTTTGGGATTTTTTTTTCTAAATTACATCAGCAAAATTGTAACCCAGTGACTATTTTCTTTGTCGTGACTTTACAGTCATGGCAAGGGAACTTAGGAAAAGCGGACAGAATTGTCAATGTCTACATCAAGGAAAGTCAGAAAAGAGGAAAGACACTGTGAGCAGCACTTGCATTGGGAATATCAAGTATTCATATCCCAATTATAGTTGATCATCTGATGGAAATAAAATTCTACTGAACCTTAGGATGTCTTCAAAATAAAGCAAAGGCATCAAGTCAGCACAGTTACAAAACAGTCTTTTCAAGATTTCGTTATGAACACAAACTACATCTTAAGTCTTGACCAATGAAACTGTTAAGCCAGTTCCAGCTACTGGTAAGTGCAGTTTAATAAAGAAAAAAATATTAACATTCATCTGAGAAGTACATGACTTCTCAGCCATTTTGGCAGGGAAGAAAAAGGAAGTTTTCTACTCAACGTGAAAATTTAAGAACTGCTGTAATGTAATAATCAGAAATCAGTTGTGTTTTGTGTTTTTGGGGTTTTTTTTACACTGGAAAACAAAGTAACATACATGTACATACAATGACCATATTAAGTTCATGAACTGCTCATTTTCCTCTAACCCATAAAATCACGTACTATGCAAAATTCCTAGATACTCATAACTGAAATACATTGCTCATAACTGCATGTACTTAGAATTATTTTGCTACTTGAAAATGGTATGGGAAATCTCACACTGTGCTGACTCTCAATCTCTTCATGTTTCTGTTGCAAAGCTTGTGAAGCTCTAATTGAATCACCTATTCCCCACTGGGTTCTTAGCTGTTCAGATCCAGGTCCTTCAAGCCAATTGACTACCTGTCAATAAGATAAAGATGACAAAAATAAAGTAGCAAATCAATTACACGAAAACTGGTATAAGAAGAATTGCGTAATATAAGCAGAAATATTTCAGAGTAAATATACGGTTACGTTAAAAAAAAAAAAAATCAGGAGTCTTGTTGCTGAACCATTCACATGTTTAAAAGCTTTACATAGAAACTACTTTTCATTAACCTCATCCTGTCAGCTCCATGAAAGCAGGTGGAAACCACCAGAAGTTTTGTCACATACATACTTGTAATTTCATATGTATGTCAATAAGAGCTTAAACCACAACTTTTTGATATTTGACCTCATGTTCTAACAGGATTTTTTTTTGCCAAAGTGAGTTATTTACAATGCACAGCTGTATTCAACCTCACACCTGAAATTTTTCTCCTTATTCTGCTGTATATATGAACACTCTAGTACCAGATAAGTACTTATTCCAAAATTAAATTTACATACCACCTTCCTATTTTATATATTTATGACTTTCAACTTGTTCAACTAACAGAAGTCTCTTACAGAGCCTTAATGGCCACATCGCATGGGATCTGTCTTTGCAGAAATCTTTGGAAGTTCATGGCACTACAATTTGACTACAGCACTGGATTTCTTTATTAATATTCTTATTTTGAAACTATTTCATCTGATGTTAACATTATTCAAAGCAAAGCAGAGTCTCTGAAATTTTGGTTTTCTTATACACATTTGAATTATCAGATGATATCTATGGCAAAATTTTATCATAGATTTTTAAATATCTAGAAAACAGAGAGCAGTGATGAAACCTAGTGCAAAAGTCACTTACTACTGGAGTCCTGAAGTAAGGAAATACAGGAACACCATCACATTCTGAACCTTAATGAAAAAGCATAGAAGCCAGCTTCCTCTCTTTAATGTGACTTTTGTTTAAACAAAGATGACAGAACAGCTTCACACAGTTTTTCAGGAAATAGAATACAATACACAACATAACCACGAAGACAAATGAAAAAGGGATTAATTGGACCATTTTCCTAGTGCTACTAGGCTACACTGAATCAGTAGTCAAGAATGACCATCACCATTACAGAAGGTTACTCAGTTCACCCCACGTTTTAGTCATCATGTCTGCATCTTCCCACCCCTATTTTTGTGTGCCCCCAAAGCAGCACCGTTTCAGAGCATATTTTCTTTGCTCCAAAAGCATCCTGAGCCTTCTTTACTTTTTATTATTTCTAGGGCAAATTAAGACTACAGTTTTAGGTTCTTTAAACTAAAAGAAAAACTTCCTATTGTGCTCAGCACCTCTGCACAGCCGCTGCTGTGCATATGGAATGCACCTAGAAGTGAAGGAACCCAGAGCTCCCCCTGTCAACCCCAGTGTGGACTGGAAAACTCACATAGGTAAACAACAGATCTCACACTAATCTGAAACTGTGTCCAAGACTCCTGCTTAGCAGTGCCCTCTCTGACCAAGACCACCTCCCCTTTACACATTTCCAGCAACTACTGGATTGCCTCTGAAACTGCTTAGCTTAGCACATGGACATTCTTGTAAGACAGATACTTGAACTGTGGAGACAGGAGTCACCAGGGGATGTGCAGAAAGAAGCGATGTTATTTTCATAAATTGTATCTATGGTTAATGACTAGACTACTGCAAGGTCTGGCATTAATTTTTGTGAATTACCATTAGAAAAATAGTAATTAACACCTCTACCTAAGGATGGACAAAGCTAGAAATTATCAGTAGTATACAGAGCTGCTCATCAGCAGTCTGCTTAGCAGAACTGCTCATCAGAAAACATCTGGAAATCATTGGCATCTTTACACTGCAGAATGAAAGAGGAAGAAAAGGGAAACAAAAAGAGAGGGTAGGATACGGAAGGCACAAGGGAAAAGAGATGGTTATGGATAAGAGGGCTTTGAGGCAGGAGTAAGAACTAGGCAGTTCACAGTAATCAGAAGCAGCAAATAGTGAAAATGAAACAGGAACACAAAAGCAAGCCAGGAGTGGTTAGCAATATAAGCAGCTATACAAAGGATCAAATAGGAATGCAATTGTAATGAAAGTTAACAGGAAATCAAAATACTAAAAAAATCAGCAACACAAGAGAATGAACTTTCTATGTACACACTCATTCCAACTGAAAATACTGCAACTTCTGTTTGTTTTAGCAAAATAAACTCCATGACACTTTGCCTCTATTGGGTTCTTCCAATCCATCATTATCTTCTTACTTTTCTTGGTTAGCCTATTTTTCTCCCATAAACCAAAAGGAAACTAATCAATTTCTAAATTTAGTACGTCTTCCATTTGTATGCCACTTAGAAAGCGTTTAAACGCACTTTATAGAACTGATTAGCTTGATAAAAATAGCAAAACACATTTTTCCTGTGTGCTGAGACTCGTTCACTTACTGTGTAGCATCCATAGTGCATACAGAGCAAATGAATAACTATATCTAGTATAAATATTGCAAACTGAGGCTGATGACCCAGTAAACAAATGTATTTAAATGCATAAACAATGTCAATTTGCCAAAGTAGATTATAAATTTCATTTCAACCGACACATGTTGTTCAACTAATGTAACTTAACCACAGGAAAAAGTCATCTCACCTGGTTATACCCATGGCCATGTTAATATGTTCTATACAGTACTATTTTCATCTCTTACATATTTTTATTATTTCCAACTCCACAGATCAAAAGATGACATTTGCTTTTTACATTTTTTTATAATAACCTGAATTACTACATAATTGAAAATTATTCCCCCAGTAGATTTATATTTTCACTGCTAGAAATAATAAGATTTATTAGTTTTTATCTTTACCCATACTGGAACACTGAAGTGCAAGTACTTGATTTGCACTCCTCATGCATTAGAAATGTCAATGTTGAAAGGTTAACAGCAATATCCATTTCATTTTCTGTATATTCAAGCTACACAGAAGCTTAAAAACATAAATCTAATTTCAAATAATAAAATAAATAAATTAATTCTATTTCCTTGATTCCTCTACTGAGATTGCTGAGAAAATGTTGAAAGTGCTAATTACATGCCCATTTCCAAAGGACCAAGCCAATTCGTTATGATCTTTAACACACGATTGATTAGGAAGGTTTATATTCATTCTTGTCAGGGCATCCTTGAAATACAGAGAGTTTAACTTAACTTTAACTTAACTAAAACATCAAGCATTAATAAATAAATAATTAAATAGGGGACTATCTTCAGTAATAAGAACTTAAACCAACACGGGCAGGGGAAGGTTTCCAACTCTCAAGCAAACTGTCAAATGTGTCTCATTTGTGGATGTTCCTCTCGTTGCTAATAGGTCAGGCATTTGCGCTCTGGCAGTGTAGTGGTACACCATAACAGTACACAACAAAGGGACATGAAGGTTCTTCAGCATGATGGTAAGAAAGCACAATTCTATCAGAACAGCATTTAGAAAGTCACTGTGGTATTTGCAATGTAAAGCATCAAGTGAAACTAGCACATCGTGGTTTAAGGAGCAGAAGAAGGCCTGAAGCTCTCACATCTGAGTCTTCATTTTTAAGGAAACACAGTCTGGGACCTGACTTCAAACATCCACCTCACAGTATTGAAGAACAACCCCAACCTTACCTGCATTACCTTCTGCTGAATCTCCTCTAGTTGTGTACGTTTGCTACGTTGTCTGCAAACTTCCTGGTAGCGTGTATATTGCTCTCTAAGCGAGTCTAGTAACTTCATGACCTGTGGTTGAGCAAGTAATTCATCATCCATTGGAGACCAGGAAACTCCTCCATCTGAACCATTGAATCGACGCTGTTGTAGCTCAGATAGCAACTCATGCCCTTTAAGAATACATATAATGATGTGGTTAATTTAGATTCAAAAACAAAAAAAAAAGCACAGAAATTATTAGTAAGCATGCCTGCTTTTAGACCATCCAGTGGTACATTTTTGCAGCTAAGGATCTTTCATGCATTGGGGATATTTAATGATACCATGTCATACAGAGCACTGGCCACGGTTTGTGTGGATATATCAGTCAAAAAACAGGGTTGAAGTCATGTCATGTATTTTAGATATACAGAAGAGATACCGTGACTAACATTCACATTGATAATAGTATTGATTACTGTAAAGACACAATTTCAAAGCACAACCCTGAGTCTGAAACAACTGTAACTATTCTGGTTTATTTTAAAGTACTGTGCAGCATCCAAAGTACTTCTCTCAAACAACACATATTCTCACATTAAATTAATGGTCTAGAAGCACTAACAAACTGATCATATAATTTCTCTGTTATCTTTCAGGACACTTACAAAAAGTATAAAACTGTCACAGATAGTGTGAGGCTGAATAATATGTATTTTGATTAATACTTTTTTCTCACTTATCTCACCTTTTCCCTTTGTCCTCTTAAGCACCATATCACAGTGCTACACATACATGCAAAAATAGTATATTTTGACTACTTAATCCTCCATTTAAACTGTCTGAAGAATTAAGTTGTGGTACAGTTTTCAAGATGTAAACACCACACTACCAGTAAACCCAGATCATCAGTTTATTCTCCAAAAGCTCAGTGAACAAGTTAGCAAATAAAGCAGTGTTTGGTCACTAACAAAATGCTGGTGTAAAAGTGAAAATCTGCCAATTTCACATCGAGTTCTGCAGGTCTTAAAATGGTAACATGCCAGTTCACTCAAAGAAAAAAACAAAAAAAAAAACCCAACACACCACTAGAATAGTAACTAATACCTCAAGGAAAATGCAGAAATATAGACTCTAAATTCAACTAGCATTATCTAGACAATCAAAATGCCAACAGCTTTGGAGACTGCAACAAGTAACAAATTACTCAGCATGTATTACTGTGAAATGAACATCTTAGTATATATATTGCCACACTATGGAAATAAACATCTTGGATTTAATCTTTTATAATACTATACAGATAGACACAGATAACTGCAAACAGCCTTAAAAGCTTTTACAAGTCATAATTCTATTAGGAAAATTTTGATTTTTTACTATATTGTTTCAGCAGTAAAACATTTAAAAAAGGTTTTATACTGAAAATATTAAGCTAGATTCTTATCAAATTCTAAGAACTATACTATATACATGGATTTGGAACTTGTGAAAGCAACAGTACTTATAACTATGGAAGACAGAAGCCCTTCATCTTAAACCTCCATTTGTTCATGTTTACCCTTAAGAGACAGGAAAGTTTAATCAAGGAGAGATTAACTTTTTATTCTCAAACTTTCAATACAGTGAATCTAATGAAGAGAAAGGTTGCCTCTTAGGAACTGCCATGATTTAATGAAAGTTATTAAATTTCATAGTTCAAGAAAAATTCATTATGCCATAATTAAGAAAACAGGGAATGCATATTGTCGTGGTTTGAACTCAGCCAGCAGCCAAACACTATGCAGCCAGTCACTGACCCTCCCCCCCAGCCCAGTGAAAGGGAGAAGAGAGTAGAAGAGATGCAGGGACATAAGAAAAACTTGTAGGTTGAGATTTAAAAAAAAAAAAAAAAAAAAAAACACAAAAAAAAACAGTTTCATGATTGTAATAAAAACAGTAACAATCACGAAAAGTACAAACAGTTAATGCAAAATGCGACTGCACACCAGCCGCTGACTGATCAATACCCAACCCACTCCTGGCCCATGACCCTGACAGAACAAAGATCCCACTGTTATAAAACTGGAAGCAAGAGAGAACCTGCCTCACCACAGTATATACTGAGCATAACATCCCATGATATGGAATACTCCAATGGCCAATCCAGGCCCAGCACTCCAGCTGCGCTCCCTCCCAACAGAAGAAAATTAATTCTACCCCAGCCAAAACCAGGACAATATAAGCTAATGTTCTTGGATCTATCTCTTTACATAACATTTAAGTGGTGTTTTGTCCAGAACTCTTACCATTAAAGGAGGATACACAATTAAGACTAAAATCTAGTGACAGTGTCTACAGACACTTCATATTTTAAAAATTTTAAAGGCCACAGCAAGGCACTATTGTTTCACCTTTTAACTCAAACAATATTATCCAACATCTATATAAGCTAAATTTTTACACAGAGGGCACGTAAAACCAGTACTCTGTGGCAAATATTAGATGTGATCCACACATTAGATCATAGGAGATAAGGATTCTGAGCACTCAAGACTCGGATCACCACATTAACACTATGCATTATTTCCTATTCTACAAAGGCACAAATCTTTAAGCAATTTTCTAGTCCAAATCAAGTCTATTATACTTTGTCACGAGGAAATTCACCCTAAAAAAAACCCAAAAACATTTCGAAGAACCCCAAATTGTTTAAGGCTGAAGAGAGAGTTTAAGCAGTGAAGAGTAAGACGACTATATGCTTCACTTCTATAGATGGTTAGCTCAGAACTAGACTGCCACAAATTATCAGAACTGTGAGGGAAAATGCTATCTGTATTGTAACCATTTGGTGGCTAAGGAAACAAATTCATTCTATAAGGCTAACATACTGATGTCATCTAGAAACAATGTATTCTCAAAATTAAACACAGTAATTGTGGTAATACTGCACAGATGTTATCAGGGTTATTAAAAACTGTGTTTAAAATGACACATTTGGAGTTCCTCAATTTAATGTCACTTTTTTTTTAGCCCAGCAAAGACAACATTAATTGGTAAGCTTGTTACATTGTGATGACAGTCAAGATAATTATTGTGCCGTCTATGCTTTCACTTGAGGCCTAAATATAAATGTTACTTTATTGACCAACATTATTTTTTGACTTACTATACCTGTCTGCAATACCGTCTCAGGATCAACCGATGGAAGGAAGTTCAAATCTATTGATCTTGAATAAAGTAACAAACACATTATTAATAATAATAAACATGAAGTGACAAATAGATTATTAATAATTTGTATTACAGTAGCACAGAAAACTTCAATGCCAGAGCAACCTGATGCTCTTAAGAGACTCCATGTTTCTCTCCTCACTCAGCAAATTCCTCACTTTTTCAACCCATTGTATCAAAACAGAACTGCAGCTACATGTAGTCATTAGCCAAAAGAGCATACACACAGTGATGAATTTTGTAGTCTGTTAAACTTTCAGAATTTCTCTATACATTTCAAAATACTTAAGACATACCATATTTTCAATATTGTTTGGATTTTCAATGAAATTTTATAATCCAAAAGCATCAATTTCAAAAAGCACATCACATACCTCTCTTTTTCTTGTTGAGTTCCTTTATCACTTCCATTGTTAATTAGAGCAAGTTCATCCAGTAGGGATGTTGATTCTTTTGTGAACTTTTCGAATACCTAAATAAGAGCCAGGTTTTAATTTAAGAAAAAAAAATTTATATGTGACAGTATTGAAGTCATCAGTGCAATTTTATCCACTAGTTCTGTTAGTATACTTCCATCCTTACACAGTGTAATTATTTCCCAACATTCAGATGGTTAGTCTCGAAAGAGTAGAAAATACAAAGTTTTATTCAGGAAACACTTAAGAGCACTAAGACTCCTTAGGGAGATAGTAAATATTACACTGAATATAAAGAAGATGGACTGAATTCTGAAATACTGAAAAATTCTGAGATTCCTGCAAAACCTGTAAGTGCTTCTGGACATATTTATTCTACATCTTCATTTAAGTCTTTAAGTAAATCTTAAGAATAATGCTAGAGAATCAAGGCATGTTACACACGCATCTGACAACACTTGAATGGCTTAAAAGAACCAACTTTGTGAAGATTCTAGCTTTTAATCACTACAAATATGGACTGTATTGTAACAACGAACTAAGGTATAAGAAAGATGTGATACATACGAAAAAATACTCTCATCAGCTTCTTGGAATATAGAGGCCTTGATCTGAGATAACAAGGCCTGTATAGTCAGACACTGGGTACCATACAGACGATTGCTCTGCAGCTGACTTCTGAGGTTGGGGGGGGGGG